ATTAATAAAAAATTGAGTAATTGTCCAATTTCTTAGATATTTCAGGACCTTAAATGTTATTAACTTTAATGTTATAAGTATTAAATACAAGTTCATTGTTTATTACTTGGGAAGAGATGTTTAAAAGATAATCCTATATTCCTATTGATTAAGCAATCATTCTTACTTTATTTTAGGCAACTAAGTGTTATGATTTGAATCAATAAGGACTCATAGAAGAAATAGGAAAGAGTATTTTTATTAATTTTATTTTTAGTTATTAAATATTAAGATTTAACTTAATTATTCACTAAAGAAGATGCTTATTTTACACAATTTGAAAGATAAGTATAAATTGAACAATATTATTCATAAACAAGTAGATCTTGGGTTAATGATGATAAATTAATACTATTTAGACTTAAAAAAATCACAAATTTTGATACTGAAGAAATACTATAAATTTAGAAAGAATTTAAAAAGTATTGTATAGAATCTCAAAATTTATCTAATAATAAATAAGAACAAAATAGTATTAAATAGATTAATAAATTTTAAGATAATATTGATGATATTGATATGGAAAATTTATAAATAAAATAAGTCAAATCATAAAAGTATGGTATTACTAAAGAAGCATTTATTAATCTAATGGTATAAAAATCTAATTATATAGATTTATATAGGAATAGTTTCACTAACATTACACTAAGTATTAAATATTAGATAGACACAAATATGAATTAGTCTTTTGTTTATTTGATGAAAATAAATCAGAATTATTAGATTTTAGAGAATTCTTAACTTGTTTGAGTGTATTATTAAGAGGATCCTTTTAATAAAAAATAAAGATGTTTTTCACAGCACATACAGGATCCAATTTGAAAGCATAAGAATTTCAAACTTTATTATCAATAATTATTCCATTAGATTTATAATAAAAAGAAGATTATCAATAATTCTTAGATAGAATATAAATGCCTTAATATACTTATTAAGATATGTTATTAGTATCTTAAGATCCATTTGTATTAGAAAATGAATATCAAAGAGACAGAAGTCAGACATCAATCATGATTGCTTAATCATTAAACTAAATAAAAAATAATTGAATTTTATAATTTTTAAGTCTCTTCTCTATTATAATATTTATAGAATATAATCAGATAGTAATTTATATAAAATTAGAGTAGCATTAATTGTTACAAGACTCTGTTTTTATATATAAACAATTTATATTATTAAATATGTTTATTTTCTATTGTACTAAAATATAATTAATGATCTTAATCAACGATTGGTTTTGGCAACTTTCTCTAATTCGTCTCTCTTTTTAATAGTGTAAGACTTTTATCCATCTTCATTAGATGCTGCAATCAATTCATCAGCTAAGGCTTCTGCAATTGTTTTCATCTTCTTGAATACAGATTCTCTAACTCCCTTAGCTAAATTATGAACAGCCTTTTTTAATATATTTGAATTTCTTACTTCATTAACTCTTCTAATTGGAGCAACATCAACTGCTTATTATTTGGCAACACCACCTGTTCCTACTTTTGTAAAATCTTCTCTGGCTCCTCCTCTTTAAACAGCTAATGATAATACTGCAAGTGGATTCTTGCCTGTCAATAAATGAACTATTTCAAAGGCATGTCTAATTATTGCTACAGCCTTGACTTTCTTTCCTGTATTTCTACCATGAAACATAAGTGCACCTGCTAATCTCTCAACTATTGGGCATTAAGCCTTTCTAAACTTCTTTCTTTGATATCTATTAATATTATCACCAATATATATACCTTCCAGCAGTATGAGGAACAAACACACGTGATTTTGATGTTTGAACTGCAATATAATCTTTGAAGCATTAATCTGTCACTTGTACTTCATCATAATCCCATTTTCCAAATAATTTTGGTTGATTTGCAAATTTAACTGTGGCTACAGATTCTTATTCAGCCATAATAATTTTTTTAAAAAGGATTTTTATTTATTTAAAATTTCATATATATATATATACAAGTGCTTATTTAGATTTGATTAAGATACTTATGATCATATTAATATATCAAACAAAAAATTGAGAGTATTTGAATTTACTTAATTATTTGAAATGTTCATCTTTAATAATATTCCTTAAATTATTAAGATAATATTGATATTATATAAATTCAAAGTTTTCTTGAACTCTTAATTATTTCAATGATCTTCTTATAATTAAATATAAGATACTATTTTATAATAGTTTTATTTGATCAACTAATAATCTTAATTATTTATCATATGAAATAAATCATTAAATTTAATGAGATTTCTAAAATACTAATTGCAATTACTATATTACTTATAAAATTAAAATCATAAAGGATTCGCTATTTTCATTCTTGGTTCTATAATAAATCTAGTTCTTAGAGTGGTTTATTCATTATTAATATAAATGGTTATTACTTAAAAGTCTAAATCAAATTTGATAATATTAAGTAAGTATTTTTAAAAGATTTTAAATAGATATACTAATCAAAATTTAACAAGTTTAATTCTATCTTTTTTTCTTATATGAGTCTTTCAAATTATTATTTCTAAAAATAACTTAAATCAGTCTCAAGTTTTTAATTTTTATTCTATTATTTTATACGCTAATTAGATAGATGTTTAATTTTTTGATTTAATCTTTAATAGTAAATAAACTAGTATTCACATATATATTCATATTAAATTATATGTCTTTAGACTTGATATTTTTTAATAATTGTTTCTTTTTCTTTTTAAATTAATAAATATTAAACCTAAGATTTAATATATAAAATACTAATAAATCAGTAAATTTTGTTTTTCATGCATCGCATTTCAAAATTTTAATTTTATTGACTCTTTTATTAAATAGTATTTTTTTATTCTATTATTTATTTAGAATAATCAATAATCCATCAAGACTAAGAGGAAATATTAGATATCTCTATATTTAATGTTTTGGTGTAATCACTTTCTTAAGTTTACAGATATTAGTCAATTTAGAATTTCTTGTTAATTTACTTTCCTTTTTCTTTTTTAATCAAATATTTCAAGATGAATTTTATAATAAATTATATCAAGGTACTATAGTTCAAATTTAAGTTTTTTACACTCATCATTCATGAGAATAATTTACATTTTGAAATTAAGAAAAGTTTCTTTTAGTTTTTCCTTATCTTTTGGCTTTTTGGTTAACATTTAAATGAATAGATGAAATGAGATAAATTTATAAAATATTATATGCATTCACTCTTTTTTGTTTATCATCATCGACCTGATGAAATACCAAAAAAGAGGAATTAATTTGAGTTAATTAATTATATATTTATATAATATCAAAATAAAGAATGGATTTACAACATTCTAAATCTTATGCAGCATTGAACTAGTAGAATTGCTAACTATTTAAACCGAAGCCTCTCTCAATTAGATAATAGATGGGTAATTTATTAGAAGAATAAAGCAGCTTAGTTACCTACATAGACTCCAAGAGTATAGATATAGGCTCTTACTACTCCAACAACAATTGAATGTGATTCAAAGTATGATTTCAAATTTATTTAGCCCATATCTAAATTAGTAACTTTGTTCATTTAAGTCATATAGAATCTCCACTGAAATAATAAATGGTTCTCCTCTAGATCAAATATAATTGATATTAAGAGAAAACGAGAAGCTAAAACGATCATTAAACTAAAAATAGCAAATTATTGAATCATTAAGTCGAACTCGCAAAGTTAAACCAAGATTGGACTTTTGTGACTTAAAAAAGAACTCTAGATCTCTTCTTTAACCATCAAGTTAATAAGAATCTATCAAACCTAAGAATATTGAAGTAAAATAGTCTATCTCTTAAAATTATAATAAACGCACTAAATTACCAAAAATAGAGGATTCTATACCCACAAATGAAGATGACTGTAATTTCACATTTGCCAATAATTTTTTCAACAATAATACTTGCAAAAATTAAAAGATCAACTTCAAATAAGTGTTTACATAATCTCATTTGAAGAAAAAATTTTTCACTTGATAAATTTATATTATTTAATGATAGAATATAGTGATCAAATTGTGATATCTAAAATCATCAGTGATATAATAAAAAAGAATTGGTTTTTGATTAAAAATTGATTTATTCTTGAATTTAGTTAAAAATCACTGACTTGTCTTTTTTATATAATTTATTAGAATCCATAAATAAAATAAAAATTAGAAATTGTCATAATCAATTTATTATTATTAATAGAATAATTAAAAATGATATGATATTCATGAATTTGCAAGAAAATATTCTATAATAAGTGTTTTAAATATTCTCATTTGACTTTTGTTTAAATTGTGTACTAAATTTATTGACTATATAAAACATAAAATTATACAAAATTAAATTTGTATGATTTTTAAGATCATATAAATTAATCAATCTAAAATTATTCAAAATTGCTAGAGTTTCTTTAGTTTGACAATTTTCAAAATTTGTTAATTTTGGATTTTCTTAATTATAGTTAAGAATTCCTGATAATAATAATAATAAAAAGTAAAAGAAACTCTTTGGTTATTATTATAGTGTAAAATATATAATAACCCTTTATCATATATTAAGTTATAGAAAAAGTAATCTAAAAAATTGTTTTATTTAATAGAAATCTCTAGAATCAGTCAACATATTAATCAGAAATTATTGTTTTTGGATTAAGAGATATTACAATATTTTAAGAATTGATCCTGATTCAAAAATTAAGATAAAACTATAAAAAGTTAAGAATAAATTATTAATAATTTTTTTTATTGAATTATTATATATAATATATAGAAGGTGGATAAGTATACAGAAATTTCATTAAGAATACAATTTTACTTAAAAGATATCTATTGTAATTTTAATTCTGGATTGTCAGAATTTGATAATCGATTAATAAACTTGATTTAATTATGATATATTAAATATATAATTCAGTTATTTTGATATTGAATTTATTTAATTAAGTTATTGATATTTTTGAAATATGTCGAACAGCAATCAATAAGATGAATCATATGATGAAGAGCAAGAAGATGAAGAAATTGAGACTGTTCAGGAAAATGGTTTAAAATAGTTATTCAAAAATCAAGGTATATTATGTTAAATTAACTTAAAATTAGAGTAATTCATGTAATAAATCAATTATCTTAATGAACAAGCTGTACTAAAAATTAAACTTTAAAAGTTCAAAGAAGCCATGAAGTTACTTTAATAATCAGAATAAATGTTAGAAGTATTTTATGATTTATATCCATAGTATGCAGCAAGTTGTGGCAAACAAATAGATAAAAACTTAATTATAGTTGTTCTCTATAATCAAGCCTGTGGATATTAATGGTACAACTAATAAACTTATAATCATAGTTAATGGGTTTTGGACAAATGTTCTAAATATTTATCTGGAGTGATTTATAATATGGAAGAAAGCATGAAAGAAGATGAATAAGATACAAACAAGCTAACAAGCACCTAAGAATGTGATGCTTCTTTAGTCAAAAAGAAAGCCTTTTTAGCAAGAACACTGTTATAACATACAGCCATTTTAAGTCAATTAGGAAAGTATAAATTAACATAAATTTAGACATAAATTAGCATTACAGTCAGCCAAAAAGGCAGCTAGTACAATGAGAGATGTTTTTAAAATAGCCTATCAATTTTGTAAGGATTGGCTAAATAAAAATGGATCTTTAGGATCTGCAACAACAGCCAATTCTAGTTTAACAATGAAGTCAAAATAAAAAAATAATAAATTCTAAATGAAAGATGAAGTAGAATTTAGTAGACTAGTTATTGATGCCAGTAAAGATATTCTATAAGATATGTCTAAATAATAAGATTTAGATAACATATCAAATAATGAATAGTTAATTTTAAGAGAAGCTAAAAAATAATTATATTTCTGGAGAAACAATCCTGAAAATAATGAAAAGCATATCCGTAAAGAATTAAAATTAGATCAAAAAGAAGAAGATTATCGTTCTATTTTAGGAGTTTAAAATGTACAAGAATGGATTTAAACATTTAATATAGGTTTCATTATGCATATGACTCCATAAATATATGAGGATTTCTCATTATAAGGAGAAATGCTTTATGAAATATCTAAGAGATTATTATTGGAGAAAATTATCTATTTATCAATATCTTATTTCACTATTGCAACAGAATTAAGATTTATTGAATTAGACAAAGCTAAATAATAAGGAATCAAAGATATTAATACTGATGAGTTTAAATTGAGTGAATTATATCATCTTAAAGCAGTTGAAATTGCTTGTAAAAATATTACTTGTTCATCTCCTTATATTAATCATTTAATTACTAGTTATCATAAACATTACAATTCTAATTTAGATACAATACAAGAAGAATCTATGATGTCAATGGTATCTGAAGTTAATTATAAAGAATAAAAATTATAAAAATTAAAATAAATGCAAATTTAAACTCAAAGAGAAAATCAAACTATACTCAAAAATTTAGCTGAAATAAAATTAAATGATTCATCTCCTACTGGAAAATTAATTAATTCTTTTTTGAATTAATAATCTCCTTTAAAAACTAATAGAAATATTAGTGATAATATAAAACCATAGACAAATTTGATGGAATAAATGATCATTAATAAAAAAAGATAATAAATGCCATCAGATATGTCTCCTAAATAAAAAATATAGTTTTTCAATGCCTCTTCTAATAATAGTTGTGAAAGAATAGATGAAAAACTTTTAAAAGAGACTTTCCCTATTTAATTGTAACCTTATAAATCAGCTAAAACAACATTTAATAGTCTTATTAAGTAAACATAAAATACTTAACCATCCTCAAATCAAAATAATAATGGCATTTTAAAAACTTTCTTTTTTGATAATTGCAGAACTGAGAGAATAAATTCCAGTTCAAATTAATCACCTAAAAGAGTAGGTAGATCTCCTGATAAGTCTCCAGAACGATTTCAAAATTCCTTAAAACCTAGAACTTCTTTTATGACAAATAAAAGTCCTCAAACAAGGCCTAGAACAGATACGGAATAATGTATATTTTATATTATTATATTTGAATAGAATGTCATATTAAGTTTGAAACTATTTAATAGTTATTAAGAGGTTAATCTGGTACTAATTTAAAAAGAAAATGAATATAACTTATCATTCTTATTTTTTTTTGTTTATTAGAGCTTACATTAATATTTAATTTAATCAAATTCTTTTATGTATTACATACAAAATACGTTATCAAAATTTAAAATGGTTAGATGTAGCTGTTGTTTGAAATGCCGAATTTTTCATAGCTGGAGATTTAGGATTAGTTCTATAAGTAACATATTGACAACTTTTATGCATTCGTTTCATTTCTTTTTGTTTATTATTTTGAATACACTTATTGTTATTATAATTTTACTTATTACATATACGAGATATTGGCTACACTGATATCGCTGGATGTACTAGTATTTAAATGTTTATAAGCATAATTTTATAAATCTTATTAAAAATTCCTTTAACTTTTAAACATCTCATTCATTATTTTATTCATCTTATTCATTCTTATTTACTAACCAAAAGAATTAACATCTTTAACTTCAAATAAGTAATGATTTTAATTAAATGCAGCAGCTTCTGCAGTTACATCTTCCATTTGACTATAAGTTCTTTTAATCTAAGGTGCATTAGTAATAGAATCATTATAATCTATTTGGATTTCATTTTATTGCTATTAATCTAATGAATCTTATTCTTTTGTTTTAAGATCTTTTTCTTTTTCTGTTTTTTTATTTAGATGTTTAAATAAATCATCAAGATATTTTTACTTTTCCTTTAATTCTAAATTGCATAAAGGTTTGAAACATCTAAATTCTTCAATCACAGTATTAGTTCTTCTTTTCATCATTGGCAAAACCTCAAAAAATCTTTACCCTTAGTATTTTACATATGGTTTTAAATCTTCTCTACTTTTTTTATATAAAACTCTAAGTTTTTTAACAGATTCTTTTGTATCATTTACTTTATACATTTCTTCAATTTCTTTGAAATATTTATTCATATATTCTATTTTGGCTTTGTAATCATGTTTTAATTAAGCCTCCTTGGCCTTAAAATGAGTATCCAATTGATCTTCATAATGTTTATCAATGCAAATATCCTCAATATTTGTCTTCCAACCATTACAAAATTAGTGTTTTAACTCTCCACCAACATTAGCCCATCCATTTACAGTACTTGAATGATTGGGTTAAATTTTAATTATTTTTGCATTAGGCGGTCCATCCTTAATTTATGTAGAATCAAATTTGCATATTTTTTTTTAACTGAAATCTCTACATTATTTGATATTTGGATGATTTTCTCTTAAATACATATAAGCAACAATTCTATCCATATCTGTTTTAACTCCATATTTTTTCTGAAATCTTGGACAAGGATCAAAAAATGGTGCCTGACTTTTACTTTGTTATAATTACTCTTTATTGTTTAGGAGGATCATTGTTGATGTCCAACCTTCTTGTAATAATAGTTTTAGATTTCATAATAATTAATAAATTGCATATAACATTTATTTCATTATTAAGCACATTAGACTCTTTATCCACCATGACCTCTTTCATCATCATCATCTTCCTCATCCTTTTTACCACCTTCTGGATTTGAATTTACATGAGATTCATCATATTCTTCTAAATACAATGTTTTTTTAGCATCAAGTTTTGGTTATTATTTAGGACCAGGTAAAACCTGAAATAATAAATTAGAAATACCTTTTTCAATTATTCTATTTGTTCATTTTTTAGTTGTCCAGGTTAAGGGAATTCAACTTCAAACTTAATATGAAGATCTCCTTCACTCATGGCATCTTTATAACAAGGCATACCTTTCTTTTTTACAGTCATTATTTGTGCTATGATAATATACACTTAAATTACAAGGTGAGATAATTTCTCCAGGTTTTGTTGAGATGTTTAAATTTGATCCATCTAAGAATTTTAATGTAAATTGTGTTCCTGTCAAAGCTTCAACTAAAGAAATCTTTTTATTTGTGTATAGATCAGCTCCTTTCCTTTCATAAACATCATGTTTTTTTATTTTTATTCTAATATATAGATCTCCTGCCATAACTCCTGGTAATTCATCACTCTCTCCATAAAATTGATAATCATGTTCATCAGGTACACCTCTTTCCAATGGAATTTCAATCACTTTCTCTTAATCTATTACTTTATTTCCTTTGCATTTCTTGCATCTGTCCTTCTCTGGAAATATTGTTCCATCACCACCACAGTCATTACATGGTCCTGTAGATTATGAATACATTCCTGGACCAATCATTTATAATTTTTGAACCATTCCTCTACCTTTACATGCTGTACATGTCTTTGCATTTGCACCACCTTTTCCTTCGCATCCATCACAAACCCTCTTTCTTTTGTGATTCAAATGAATCATCTTTCCTTCAAATACTTCTTCAAGTGTCACTGATTATTCTCTCATCTTTGCTTTCATTTTTTTTGGTCCTTATTCTCTTCTTCCTCCTTTAACTCCGAAAAATTGACTAAAGATATCACCCATATCTCCACTGCCTCCACCATTTTTCACACCTTCCATTCCAAAACGATCATATAAGTCTTTTTTCTCAGGATTTGAAAGAATTTCATATGCTTCTGTTAATTTTTTGAACTAATATTTTTTATTTATTCAATACTTTTTCAGGATCACCACCTTTATCTGGATGCTCTTTTATAGCCTTCTTACGAAAAGCCTTTTTGACTTCATCTGTAGTACTTTAAGGAGGTACTCCCAAAAGATCATATAATCCTTTGTTATCAACTTCTGCTTGACTATTTGAAGATTCTTCTTCTCCCATATCTCCAAAAGGAAATCCTCCAGAGAAACCACGAAACCCACCTGAGAACATCTATTAAAATATTTAAAAATAGTTTTAAAATTTTGACAAATTTTCATTATAAAATAAGAGATGTTTCTAGAAACTATTACTTTAATATTTTTTTTAATTTTTTTTTTTTTAGAAACTCACTTTTTACTTTTCATGCTTCTCCTTATTCATTTTCTTTATCTTTAAATGCATTAATTGAAGTATAGGAGATCAGTTACTCTCCCATTAAAAATATATGAATTACAATTCTCTTTATTACAATTTTTTAAGTTTACAACATTCACACTCAAAATACAAATAACTCACTTTTTAAGGAAGACAGTAATGTTAAGATGAAATCTATATATTTTTAGAATCAATTAAAAACAATATAAGCATATTCTCAATGTTCTTTATATTTTATTTTAAATAAATTCAAATTTAATCTTATTAATATATATATAATCTGAAATTTAATATTGTTTTTTCATTCGAAGATAAATATCACATACTATATAAAATGAATAAATTTCATTTCTGCTAAGATATATCACATTTTATAATGTGATATTTTCAAAGATCTAAGCTGAGCGTTCTTGTGATAATTTTTCAATTAACTTATCTTAGATTTTTATTAATTTATAATACTTAAAGAACAGATAGATTACAAAATCAATTTCCAATCAAGATTTTAAAAGTAGTGATAATTATTTTAATGATCAAACAAGTGAATCCAAGAAAAATATTAATAATTATAAATTGAAAAAATCTGATTACTAGTAATTTTTAAAAAATTAAGGTTAAAAATCATTTCTGTAAATTATCGTATGTTCTAAATTGTATCAAAATAATTAATTTAACAAACTATTTTTTTAATAACAGATATGAAAAAAAAAATTAAAAAGAAGTAATTTAAATTAAATAGGATTTATGTTCTATATTATGTTATAAAAAAAATTATTCTTTATAAAATGATTCATTCTAATATTTAAGATTCAATTTACTTATCTTAGATAATTTAATTATTTTATTCTTTTTCTTATTTTAAAAATTCTAAATTTAGTCTATGAATATTTCCAGGAGAATATTTAGTATTTCCTTTATTGGTTTAATTTGATATTGGTTTTGATTTTGAAGTTCTATCAGTTTTTTCGGGGCTAAAATTTGGCTGAGTTTTTGTTATATAATTATATTTTGATAGCTTATGTTATTAAAAATCATCAAGCTTGTATCTAAAATTTAACAATATCTAACCTTATATCTTAAAATCTCCTCGATGTATTAGAATCCTCAAATTCAACAAATTAAAGTTTTTCTTGTTGATTTTTTAAATTTTGTCTGAAATTCTAAAATCCAGCTAAGCCTTTTTAGTCTTATTTTGAAGGCTTATGATATATGATATTATTTTATCTAAATTCCCTTTCATGAAAAAATAATTAAGATATATAAGTCTATAGGTCTCCTTTCATTCTGTTAATTTTGTGACTCTTTCTTTCCTCTTATTATCTTTCATCTTAGGGGGATTTATTTATTTGTTATTAATTCTATTTCGGCTATGCACGAACAGTAATGCATTCTTTTTAAGGAGAATTCTAAAGAAGAGGTTCTGGAATATATGATTATTTATAAGATTTAGGAATATTTGATAAAGATCCTTTATTTAAAAGGGTACTTTAGAGTAGTGTGCCACTGCTAAATTCAGTTTTATTTCTATGATGGGGTTAGCTTTCAATATAACTTTTCATATTTTTTTTGACAATTTAATTATGTCCTTCTACATCTTCATTAGAGTTTAATTGCAATTTACTAATATAAAGTTCTTCAGCCTATTATTCATTTTTCTTAGACAAGTAAATAGAAAAGCAATCTGTTTCATTTTAAACGATATCCTATTAATTTTTTTGCTTTTAACCTTCTTCTACAAGCATATCTAGCTTTTCTTATAGTTAATCAAGGGATTCGCAATTGCTAATTAGTCTTTAAATACTTTTATTTGATGTCACATCTACCTTAGTTTCATTATTTTATTCCTTATTATCTAACATCTATATTAATTTCAGTTTTTCATTTATTATTTATAATTTATGTTCGTTTTATTTTTATTTATATTCCCAATTTTCCCAAACTCTCCCAAAATTCCCTTCATTTAACTCAACATCTTTAAATAACATAGACCTTAAATTAAGATAAGATTTACAAATCCAGTCCTTTTGAATATTCTTAAAAGTCTTCAATAGTTAATATTTAGGACCCCTCTTTTTTCAAAGCTTTAAATGCATCTTGTGAACTTTTAAATTTGGATCTTAAGTTTTGTTTTAAAGAGATCCAATTCTATAACATTTCTTAGTTTTGCTCAATTGATACCTTTTATTATGTAAGTTATTGAAATTCAGACATTTTAAATTAATTTATTAACAAATAAATTATAATCTTTAAATTAAAACTATATATGAACATAATGAAACATACATAAATAACAATATGATATTTAATAAATAACTGTTATCAATTAATTGGACCTATATATCTATGATTTTTAAATTCACCAGCATATACAATGCCTTCTTTTGTAATAAATTTTCCTTTTCCATGCATTTTATCTTATAACCAATCTCCTACATATTAATCTCCATTTCTTACAAGTTAAATTATATTATTACCCAAAAATATATTATCCTTTACCGTGTTTTTAATCCTAAACCCATTCTCCATCATATATGTCATCAGTTAAAGCATGAGTATATTTTCCTCTTCCATGTTTTTTATCTCCCAACCACTCTCCCTCATACCTGTCTCCATTAGCATAAAGCATTACTCCTTAACCTGTTCTTTAATCTTTTCTAAACTATCCTGTATAAGTATCTCTTGATGAAGCATATTTAAATTCACCTTCTCCATCTTTCTTACCATCCCTAAAATATCCTTTGTAATGATCTCCATTTTCATATTGCAATATTCCAAGTCCATTCCATAAATCATTCCTAAATTATCCCTTATATATAGATTATCCGTTGCACATCGTATAAACTCCATCTCCATTTTTTTAATTCCTATCCCATTCTCCTTCATATGTATCACCATTAGGATATTACATTTTAGCTTGACCACATAATTGCCCGTTTACCCAATTTCCTTCTACTCTTGCCCCATCATTGAATTTCATTATTCCAAAACCATTTCTTTCATTCTTCTTGAAGTCTCCCACATACACATCACCATATGCATAACCAGCCTCTCCCTTTCCGTGTCTTTCTCCTTCTCTCCAATCTCCATCATAATATTCATCTGTACTGTAATAAACATATCTTCCCTTCCCATGCTTTTTATCATTTTACCAATCTCCATCATAAGTATTTCCATTTAAATAATAGTATTTGCCATGTCCATGTTTCAAACCATCGGATAATACTCCAGAATATCTTTCGCCTAAGATTATTAAACCCATATACCATTGGCAAATAAATAATGTCCTGAACCATTAAATTTATCATCAAACCATTCACCCAAAAATATATCGCCATTATTATAGTAATATATTCCATACCCTGATCTAGATCAAATTAATTTATATACCACTTCTTTTATCGTTAGATAACTATCCTTCATATCTACTACCATCAACAAACTTCTTTATTTTGCAATCTCCTCTTAAATTTCCCTTTTCATCATAAATATAAAGTTATTTGAATTCTTCTATAAGTTTTCTTCTACTCTATTTTCAATGAAACTATTTACTTCCAATTATTATTATCTAAATCCTTCTATGTTCTTTGCAGGCTTGTTTTCTAAGATATGAACGATATTTGATTACAAAGCACTCTTTATTTCTGACATATAATAATAAAAGAATAAAATTTATTTGAAGAGATCCAAAACAATAAATAGATCTCACCTAGAGAAAATTATCCTGAAGGAATTCTAAAATAAAAAATAATAAACAACTTAAAATCTGATTTTAGAGTAAATCATCATCATATATTTAATAATTGAAATAATTAGTAAATAGTATAAGATAGATTTTATAAAGCAATACTAATAAGGCTCTTAATTGATATAAGGATCATTTAAGAAATTAAAAAGAAAAAACTTAAGTATAGTTCTGGAATAAGGAAAGGAAAAATAATTATGGTTGAATAAGAAGAAACCTGTATAATTCATTCTTATCAAACTTTGATGTTTGAGAAATCAGCACTTTTGACAACAGATAAAGCTTATTCGCTGATTCCAAGTTCTCTAGTGAATTCATTCTTTAAGTTGGTGTAGGTATCGGTTTCTTCTGCATAGGTATTGTTTTCTAATTCTAATTCAGCTGTGTATTATTTTCTATCAGCATCTCTTTAGTCTCTGAATTCTGTCATTTAGTCAATCTTTTCTATAGATTAATTATATTATTTAATTACCATTAGTGGCTGTCAAATCAACATTGACTCTATTAATTTATCTTTAGAATTCAGCATATTCATCATCTAATTGTTCAAGATATTCTTCATGATCAGCCTAAGCTTATGCTTCAGCAGCTGTTTAAGCATTGATTGAATCAACTATGGCATTTCTGAATTCATTAAGAGCATCAACAATTTAACCAATAATGCCTTAGTCAGAAAAGTTTTAATTTGATGCTAAAGAAATAAGAGCCTTGATCATTGGAGCCATCTTGGATCTTGACTTAATCTTTGCCTCAATGTTTTTCAATGAATTTTAGAATCTTCTAACTTAAAGAAGTGAGGGATTTGTTAATGTTTCAAGAAGAGCAAGAGCATCATCTACTGCAGCAGTTGCATCATTCAATTCAGCTATTTAGAATTCGAAATCTTCGTGTTCTTATTCTCTAACAAGGATAGCCTCGTCATAGTTTTTTCTATTGGCTTCTTGATTTTCTTAAATTTATTCAATTCTCACTTGGAGTTATTCTCTTCTTGGGAACAACAAATTATCTAATGTGTCTTATGTATTATTAACATCTAAAAATTATAAGTTATTATTACCAATAACAGCATCTTAGATGTCCTATTCAAGGCTTACTACTAATGAATTGTGCTCGTTGGTTCTGACTTGGAAATTGAATTCTAATTCTTCTAATTCTTCTTCAAGATCATTAATTAGTTCTTCAATAGCATCAATTAACTCTTAAACTGGACCTCCAGCCATTGAGTGGAGTTCAACTAAGTGAAGTAATGCGCTTCCGTATGTGCTCTTTTAGAGGTCTGTTGTAATTTTGGCTAGATTTCTCTCTTACACTCTGGCTGTGAAGGCTACTGCAATCAAGGCAATGAGCAATATTGTCTTCATAAGATAATTATTGTTAATGGCAAAGCAAAAATTACATAGTTAAACAATAAAAACGACTAGTCTTCATTAATTAATAAACACTTAAAAACGCTATACTATTATCATTAATTATAATAACATGATTATATAAACTTTTATTATTTATAGCTTTCAAAAAAAAATAAATCTCTTTCTACCTTTCCTCTAAAGAATAACCAAATATATAATTTAAATAAACAAAATATTTCCTCACAAATATATAATGAAAACTAAAATTTTTAGATGGATACTTAAAGAAAGTTATAAGTAACTAATAAAGGAGAAAATTTTTATAAACGAAAGAATTCTAACATTCTCTATAAACGATTATGTATTCATTTACATAAACAATTGATGAATTAAATCATTTAAATCTAGAATACCCTTTTTTAAAAATTTCAGAAATACATATATTACTTATTACTTGAGGTTAAATATACTTAAAATAATAAATTGAATCCATTATCAATATTTATTGATCTTTCTTATTATTATAGTAAATCTTGAAATTTAACTAATTAGTTTGTAGTACTAGTTCTTGAACTAAGAAATCAGATCCTTATTGTTTGGATTGATTAAATAAGTCAATATATTCTTGTTTTTATGCTTCCTAAAAAGACTTATTATTTTATTTATAAATGTGCTGTTATCAACTTTTAAAATTATTTTATAATTATAATAGATAAACAAAGCTATCAACCAAAAAGAGAGTAGTTTTAATTTTATCTAGGGCAAGTCTAATAAAATAATGATTTCGTAGAAACTAATTCTAATAATGATGATCCACAGTAGCGCTATGAAAAATTGAATGATATTAGAGATTATTTTTTTATAGTATTTATGACAACCATATTTATTAATTAAGCTTACATTAATATGAGAATACTTTACCCATATTGAATTTGAGAATTAGTTGAAACTAATTTGATTAAGATAAATTTATTTTTATACCAAAATTGCATAGAAAAACTTTTTGTATTAGCTATAGCTAATTAAATGTTACAATAAGGAATTGCTAAAATATCAATTTGATTGTGTCATAAGTATATTGATTTAAAAATAACATTCGATTTTAAACAAACAAAAATAGGGTTTGGATCATAAACTTATTATAAATAAAGAAATACAAGCAGTTCCTTAATCAGAGCATAACCTACTAGAGATCTTTGAACAAATTATCGTTTTATAATCAAACTATATTATAAGAATGTGTTTTATATTCAAAGTAAAAATGAAGAGTTATCATTTTTTGGCTACAAAAAGCTATTTACTATAAAAAAACAGATAAGGTTCATCAGTATTCGATGTCATCTAATTCTACATTCTTATTCATATTTTCTTTAATATTTTATTTAAAAACGGATAGATAATAGATGAAAAAAGTCTTGGTAACACTTCTTATAATTGCAGTAGCTAATGCAATTGAAGCAGAAATGAAAGAAAAAGATTTGAAAACTCGAGAAAGAAGTAATTCAGTTTAAATATTTCAAGGCTTGAGTTTTTAGGAGGCCAATGATATTAATACAAGGAAGTTTACATGCTAAATGGGATTTGATTTTTATGATTACACTATCATAGAGTTATCTAAGTGGGCTGATATTATAGAGCATAGGGATTAATTGTAAAAGGATATCACAATAATTGACCAAATTGTTAGATTGGTTGGCAAAGCAAAGTATATTGACGATGCCTAATAATAAAGTAAGTACTGCAATAATTTAGAAATGTTCGTTCAAATTACAGGAAGCCTATAAAATTCATTATTAGATATGACGCTTGCTTAACTAAATCATTAATGGGCAAGAGGAAATCTAGATCAATGTATAGAATATATGAGATAATTCTAAAAAACTAAAAGCTATGATGAACGTGTTGCTATGGCAAATAAAATTGAAGATTATTTATAGAACATTAGGTATTAAATAAATAGAAATTTAAATGAATGCTCTTAATATCAATAACCTACAGATATGAGACAAAAGATAAGAGATTTATAAATGAAAAAAAGAGAATGTTAATCAAATGAAAATAGAAATGATAGTTGGGATAACAGTAATTAACAAGAATATGAATATCCATAAAACAAAGGTTCAACCCAGTAACAAGAACTCCCAAAAATTTAAGCTAATCGGATTAAATCATAAGGCCCGTAACCAATTTTATATGATGACGACAAAATTTGTCCATAAGGGGAAGAAGATGATACACCATAAAATATTAGCGAAGAACAAAGCGATGATTATTTAAAAAATAATATTTAAGAAGAGTCAGAAGAATTTGGGATTGAGTTAGAACCAAACCCAGATAGTAATAAAATTATGGGGGAGGAAGAAGATTTAAATTTGAGTAATGATTCTAAAAAAAAAGAAACACGAGAAATCATAGTAGAAAGGGAATTTGGGCCAGATTCTGATCATAAAAATAATTATGATGAACCTGATGAATGCATTAGTAGTGAGGAAACTCAATTAGAATAAGATGAAAGTGTGAATAGTGATTCTGAAAAACATCAGTAAGAGACAGATATCACAAACCCTAAAGTATAATAAGATGAAAAGCCAGAAGAATAGAAATAAATAACAGAAAAAAATGAGGAGAAAAAAGAAGAAACAGGAGTAAAGGAAAAAGAAGATGAAAAAGATAAAGAAAAAGAACATTAAGAAAAGGATGAAGATGAAAAACAAGTTCTAGATAAAAGTAAAAATCTTCCTTTAGACATTCCTCCAGAGGATGATGAAGAAGCTATCGAAGGTGAAATAGTCAAAACAGAGGGAATAGGAGCTTCTTCAGATGGCAGGATAGGATAATAATAGAATAATAAATAAACTTAAGAATAAAATAATATCAAAAATGAAAATGAAAAAGAAAAAGAAAGTGATAAGGCTAAATCCGAAAATAAGAGTTCAGATAATGATATAACTAAAAATGAATCAAAAAATAAAGCTACTTAAAATAATGATGATGAGGGTGAAGAAGACATTTATGAATAAGTAGAAGTAGAAGAACCTGATGGTAAAGGAGGATTCAGAAAAGTAAAAAAAATGGTTAAAAGAAGAGTAAAAAAGACTAAAAAGGTAATTGGATAAAAGAGTGGATCTTAATAATCAAGTACTACAAGTTCTTAAACCAGTTCAAGTTCTTAAACCAGTTCAAGTTAATCAAAATAAACATCAGTAAGTAGTTCATCAACTTAAAACTAAAAAGGCACATCAGTGAAGGAAGGTGATTTACTTTAATAAGGAAATAAAGGTTAAAGTAATGGTTAAACTACTAATGATGAAGGTGAAGATGATATTTATGAAGAAGTAGAAATAGTTGAACCGGATGGGAAAGGAGGATTTAAAAGATTCAAATAAATAGTAAGAAAAAGAGTTTAAAAAATAAAAAAGAAAACTCAAGGATCTGGATCAACATCATCATAAAGTTCCTCAAGATCATCTAGCTCCTCAAGCTCCTCTATTTCATCAACCTCTACTAGTTCATCAAGTTCTTCTGTTTCTTCAAGCATGAATGTTTCTGGAAGTACTTAAAAATCTACAGACTAAGCGGCCTAAAGTAAACAAAAGGTTAGTCAATCTGTAGCTGACAGATTAACTTCAAAATATTCTGAAGCTGAGTAAAAAGAAAAAGGATAGATTTCAAGCAGCTCGAAAAATTAGTAAGTTGTTTCTGGTGGATAAAGCAGTAGTAGCACTTAAAAAGAAAGTGTAAGTAGTAATAGTTAGGGCTAAAAATCTGCTTAAAGTTAGACTACCAAGCAATCATCATCGAGCAATAAATAATCTTAGGCTTAAGAATTAAATAACAGTAAATCAAATAAGAAGGTTGTGAAAACAGAGGATGGAGAGGAAATATGGGAAGAAATTTCTGTAGAGGAAGTGACTGAATACACGATAGATTCTGATGGAAATACCAATATTATCTCTTAAACAAGCACATAAATTCCAAAAACAAAATCTTACTTTTTAAACTCAATTGGAGATTAACAAATCAATCTTGATATTGAATAAAATGATGATAATGACTCATAAATTTCAGTATAAAATGTGCAAAAAAATGAATCTTTTTCTAATGAAGAATCAATAAAAAATCAGGATGATTCAAACTATGATTATCTTTATGAAAAAGATGGAGATAATTAAGATGAAACTCAATAAATTAATGAATTCTAATCAGAAAATGAACTTGACAATTATGAATAGTAGACTAGAGAAATAACTAAAGATCTTTTATTAGATAACGAATAGGATTATATATATTATCAAATAGATGGAGATCAAGTAATTTATTATGAATACGATCCTTAAATGAATGCTTACCATCGAGTTAATATGATTGATCCAGAATAATAAAAATCTCTTATCATTTAAGATTCTTAATTTGAAGATTTATTGGAGAGTGTTATAGATGACTAATAAGATTAAAAAACTTTGCCAGCAGAATAGATAACTGGATAAGAAAAACAAAATAAATTAGATCAATAAGACTAAGAAAATGAATAGAAAAAAGAGGATCCAAAAAAAAGTGCTGGAAATATTTCGAATAATTAAGAACGATCTAACAATTAAGTTAAACCTAATGATAATTTAGGTCAGCCTGCTAAAACTGAAAAGCAATAAAATGAATAAAGTGATGTTTAGGTTGCAGTAGACAACTCGAAATTAAATGTAGATTAAAATACGGAGCAAGATTAGAATAAAGGAAAAAATGAATAACAAAAAGGTGATTAGAAAAAAGATAATATTGGAAATATTGTTAATGATCTCATAAATGAAGAAAAATTAAAAATAGAGGGTATAAGTGTTGAGAAAAAACAGGTGGAAGTAAAGGATGATAAAGAGAAATCTTTAAAAATTTAAACATTGAAAGAAGAGTTCAATCCTAATGAACCAACTTAGTATGAACCACCAAAACATAAAGTTAACACAAGGCCAAAGACAGACAAGGTCAACGTACCAGTTTCAACAAAATATGTCAAGTCATCTTATGATGGAGAAGTAGCCGAGTAATATGAATTTGCAGATAGAGAGCTTCTTTAGGATTCTGATGAATATGGATATGGATTTTGGATGAGATACACTTCAAATGAACCTAAAGTGCATGCAAGGAAACCAGAAACCTATTATTTTTTATCTCGATTAACATCAAATCAAGAATATAAAGACTTAACTTACTATGGGGACAGAACTTTAGCTGTTTTTATAATAGAGAATTCTTTTGTTTTTTCAACCTATGATCATTATGAAAAGAAAAAGGTGAAAGATTAGATTGTGGCCCTAAATGAAGATTTAGATAGCATGTGGTATTTTATCTCATTCTCTTACAGTTCAGCTAAGAAAACAGCTGTAGGATTTGTTATTGGATATGGGGATAATAATAAGGTTTTGAGGGGTGAAATTTAATGCAGACATGTTCCACCTTAATATTTTAAACTCATGATTGGTGGAAAACATATGTCTTATGAAGGATTAAATGGACAATTTGCAAATATCTTTTACGATATTGATGCTCCAGCATTTCTAGACACTGAAGCTAAAGTTAGAGAAATCATAAAAACTATTTCCAATGTTCCCTAATAAGTTACAAATTTAATTGATTTAGAAGTACTAACAACTCCAAAATTATTTAATGCAAATACAGCTAGCGATTCTGTAATCTTAGATCCTTAGGAGTCTTAATTGATTATAGAGGAGTATAGCGTTGCAGCATGGTTTAGATGGATTGATGACTTGAAGGTCGATAGCGAGAATACTTTCTAAATCTTTAATTTAAGATCAAACGAAAAGAAATCTTAAGGAAAAGGAATATTAGGAGACAGATCGCTTGAATTGCATTACATTTATGGAGGAGGATCTAAAAGTTCTGTATACTTTAATACTTATACTATTGAAGGCAATAAAGCAAAAGGATCAACATACTTATCAAAAACTGTATAATCTCCTAACTATATATGGCATTATGGTTATATGGCTTACGATAATGATAAAATGAAAGTTTATGGTGCTTTGATAAGACCAGGAAAATCAGATGAGATTAGTTTTGATCCAATTCAACACAAATTGATAACAAAATTATACTTCACTTTAGGAGGAGATGATTAAATATCCCCTTTTAATGGTAAAATTGGATATGCAGGAGTATACTTAGGGCCAGGATCATATCGACAAGCACTTAATTTTGGTTAATAGTTTTAATATGGAGATGGTGCAATGAATGTATTTTAATTAATGAAACCAATATAATATAAAGATGATGCATTAGAACCTAATGTAGTAAGAGATTGTGTTTATGATGCTGAAAATTCATTAGTAGACAAGATTCTGATTCATGACGACTCTAAATTAAAAATAAATGGTTAGAGTGAGTATTCTTTTGGTATGTGGACTAGATGGTTGAGTACAATGCCCAAATATTTAGTATAACGAGGAGCAGTTCACAATATTGCTAGATTTGGTACATAATCATATCTGATCGAATCAATAGATGGAAAATTATAACGAGCAAATACAAGACCATAAACGCCTAAGGATCAAACTTTAGCTGTAACATTAAGCAGAGAAGCATATGAATTCTATACGTATAGTGCCAAGGATGAAATACAATTTACCAAATTAGAAGGTTGGTGGAATTATATTTATTTTGGATATAAAAGATTTGGAGATAAGGGCACAGCAAGAGGATATGTACAATTTGGTGTAGATGGAGAGATTAAGGAGGTTACTTTTGATATTTTCCATGATTATCTTTTGGAATATGTTGAATTCGTTGTTGGTAAATCTTCGGCTCCATTCTTTAATGGTTAAATGACAAAAATATAATGTTCAATAGGGCCTGGAGCATTTTTTTCAAGTGCAGATAATCTAAGGTTATTTACTCAAAATACATTGCCAGAAAAAGCTTAGATACATCCAGTTTCAAGATAAACGTAACTATTAATTGGAACACCAGTAAATGAGCCATCGAACCAATTTTAATTTGAGAAATTCTAAGGATCTCTAGAATATGCATTATCTGGATGGGTGAAATGGAGTGGTTTATAAAAATTAGGTAAGGTGTCTCATATTATCACAATGGCTTAAAAGAGATTAGCTGATTTGGATGGAAAAAATGAAGAAACTCTTAAAATTCGTAGATCTGATTTATCTTATATTTATTCTACATATAATTGTAAAGGTGAAGACTGTTCATAAGTAATAAATAAAGAATAACAATTTGGAGAATATTGGGATTAATGGACTTATATCTATTTTGGTTATTCAACTCCATTAAAAAGAGCTTTCGGTTATATAAAATATACCTTTACAGATGAAAAGTTTTTGCTAGAAGAGATTAATCATTTTTATCTAGCAGTTTTCAGTATCATAATAGGAAATCAATAAGAAAAATTTTAAGGATAAATGAAAACTTGGGTAATTAATATTGGAGAAGGATCTTTTAGAGAAGGTGGATTTGAAAGTGATGAGAATATAAAAGTACATTTTGGTTTTATAAGTGGCACTGATCATATTAAATTGTAGCAGGCAGGATAAGAAGCTCATCATGAAGAATAAGTTCTTGAATGTTCAGCTAATGGTAAAGAAGTACCTTTGCATGTTCAATTTGAACAAAGTGATAAACTACATCTTTAAGGAGTCAGTGAATATGGTTATGGATTTTGGTCAAGATTTTAACACTTTGCAAATAAGGGTGTATTATATTAGTAACCATAATGGATGGGTATGGCTAGATTGACAAGCTAAAAAGATTATAAAGATTTTGATTAACCAGGAGATAGAGTTCTATTGGTTTTGATGGGTAAAAATGTTTATCATTTCTCAACTTACAATGTGTAACCAGCTTCAAATAATGTAAATGGAAATATACCTTATGCATTGGAATCAGAGAGTGAATGGACTTACATTTATTTTAGTTATAAGAGAATTTCTTAAACACTTGGACATGCAGTAGCCTTTACTTCATTTGGCGAAATCACACCTGGAATATAAATGGATGTATTACATAATTTACTCTAAAATTATTTGTAATTGACAATAGGACATGCTGGCAAATATTATCCAAACTTTAATGGACAAATCACTACAGTTAGGTTCAATTTAGGACCTGGAGCATTTATTGAAAATACTGCAGGCGTAATAGCTAGAATTAAGACTAAAGATCCTAAGCCAGATATTCTATCAATTCCGAAAAATTATGAAATATTTGTTGGTAAATAAGATGCTTAAAAACTGAAAATTGACAATCCTATAATAATTGAATAAGAAGCTAGAGAATACTCAGTTTAAATATGGTTCAGATGGTTCAAGACACCAGTACAACCCAACTAGGTGATTTATAGACTGTCTTCAAATAGGGGTGAAAATGATGCCTCAAAGATCGGTGATAAAGTGTTAATGTTATCTCACATTGGAACTGCCTTATTCAGTACATACACTTTATAAGATGCAGTAATGAATGTTCCTTTCGAATGTAATATTCCAAAATAATAACTTGAAATTTGGACATTTGCATATTTTGCTTATTCAAAAAAGGAAAGAAAAATTCAATATTATTTGAAAGCAGATGCTCATGAAAATAGAGGTTTGGAGCCCATACTTCATGCTGTATCGTCAAAGTTCTGGTTTTATGTAGGAAGAGACGGAATTTTGGAAAATTTTAATAGTAGACTAGCACAATTAACAATTAATTTTGGTGAGGGTTCATTCCGTAAAGAAAACTTTTTATAATTGCCAGTGTTTATAATGGCTTCAAAACTATTCTCGCAAGAGAAGAAGAATAATTGGGAAAATGCAGGGAAGTTAGTTCTTGGTTAGCCTTAAACTATAAAATTCATGGATGAACCAGACAAACCAATTGAATCAATGTAGGAATACAGTATAGGATTCTGGTGCAGGTTGTTACAAGCATGGCCAGAAAGATTGTATAAATTACCATAGGAAATGTAATTAGTTAGATTGACTTCAAATGAATAGATTGAAGTAGGAAAAATTGCTATGGGAGATAGGATATTGGCTTCTCATATTGTTTAAGGTCATTATTAATTTTCTACTTATGATTTGAATGATGATGTCCCCAATGAACTAAGAACTATAGCTTATTCCAAATTAGAGGGACAATGGAATTATATCTACTTGGGTTATTAAAGAATGAGTTAATTAGCTTCTTATTTTGTATATGATGGAAAAGAAATATAGTAAATTAAAAATTAAGATTTACTTCATAAACCTTTAGGAGACTTTGTAATTTTACATATAGGAGGTGAACCAGATATTCCAGGTTTCTAAGGATTAATGAGTAAGATATCAGTAAATTTTGGGGTTGGATCTTTCTTTGGGTTGGTTGAAGATGTAAAGAAAGCAATTGATAATTCTTTTGCTCTTGATTAGTAATTGACTGTTGACTATATTCATAAGTAGAAACATGGACAATAAGAATTGATTGGTAAAATGGAAACTGTGACAGATGATGTCGGTGGTACAGAATTAAGAGGGGATACTTGGTCATCTGTTGGTGAATATGCAATCAGTGGATGGTTTAAAATTACTGAAGTTAAGGGATTAATTGCCAATGATTGTCAAATACTATTTAGAGTTACAAATAATGATAAAGAGCATTTGAATGACAAAAGAATACAGGGAGATAGAACACTTCATGCCTCTGTTTGCGTAGATTCTATAAAACTATCCACTTACACAATAAATGGATTGAAAGATTGGAATGAAGCTAAGTTTTTAGAAGAAAAGATAGAACTTGGTCATAACAAAAATGCATGGATTTATATCTATATGGGTTACAATGAAGATATGTAAGAGGTTCATGCATTATTACATTTATTCGATAATGATAAACCAATTGTATTCAAAGGAGTCTAACACTATGTACCACATTACACTGGAATATATGTAGCCAAAGATCCATTCACTAAAAGATTCTAGGGAGATCTTTAAAATTGGGTGGCCTAATATGGGTAAGGAGCTTTTGTAAGTATTCAAAAAAGAGGTTATGAAGATATCTTGCCAAATTACAGAGCTAAAACGACTAATCAGAAATACATGTGGTTTAACAAGGAGGAAGGAGTTATGGAAACCGAATAGGCTATAACTTAAGTCTTCACAACTGAAGTTGAATCTGTTGATGAATATTCTATAGGTGTATGGACGAGATGGTTAATATCATTTCCAACAACTCTCACTGAAAGATAAGAAAGACATAATATTTTCAGGTTTTCATCTAATAAAGAAGACTAAGACAAAAGTGAATTAGGAGATAGAGTCTTGACAGCTTTTTTAACTCTTGGAAATTATGAATTTAGTACTTATGATGTACTCAAAACATCAAATTCTGTTGATGGCAAATTACCATATACAGAATTAGAAGGTGCTTGGACTTATGTTTATGCAGCTTATAAAACTGGATAATTCTATGGAATGGTTTTGTTTAGAGAATAATAAAAAGCTTAGCACATAGAATTATAAGTCTAACATAGAGCTTTAACTGGATATGCTAAGTTTGTTTTGGGAGCCAAAGAGTTTGGATTTAGAGGATTTCATGGATGGTTATTTGATCCAAGAATTTTCCTTGGTCAGGGATCTTTCATTAATGAAAGCTAGAAGGTTGTTGACATGGTACTCAAATTGCATCGCAAATTACCAGTTCAAACTCTCGATGCTGAAGATTTTAAATGGCCTGTCTAAATGATTGATACTACACTTCAAGATGATATCAACGATAAAAAAGATAAATTTTAATTTGCATTTAATGATAAACCAGGTTTGGTAGAATATTCATTTGGATTCTGGATGTAAAATGCTGTCTTGACTCCTGAATTAACTGATGAATATAGAGGCCTTGTTAGATTATCAACTAATAATGAAGGATCTGATGAAAGATATATTGGTGATAGAACTCTTGCATTCTTTACTAAAACTGATGAAATTGTTGCTAGTACTTACACTCTTAAAGATCCTACTTTTTAGCCAGTTAGCCATGCTTTCAAACTAATACCATATTAGTGGACATTTGTCTACTTTGGTTATATTCCAGGAAAGGCCAGAGCTTATATATTAGGAATTAAGGGACCAACTGAATAAATTTTGACTGTCAAACATGCCATTCCGAATGCCTTCTATTTAAATTTAATTAAAGATTAGTCTCATCCTTTGTTTTATGTAAAAAATTTAATCTATATCTTAGGGTAAATTCTATGGATTTAAACTTTTGTTTGGATAGGGTAGCTATTTGGCAAATCCTTAAGAAATGATAGAAAAATGGCCTTATGACCCTAAAGTACTACCACCAGCTCCGAAATAAGAGGAAAAGGTTCTATCACTAAATTCAGCAAAAATAGATAGAGCTTAAAATAAAGATCATGAGTAATTTCATGAATGATTATTTTTGAACTCACAATTTATACATTAAATAATTTTGAAGCCAAATTTCCTAAGTTCATTCCAAAATGAAAATTAAGAGAGAATAATTTTTAGTCAATCTATCCAAAATTGAATGAAGTTTCTTTCGATGAATATATTTTTATATTTTTAATAAAACTCGAATTTAATGAATAATAATGGCTTTATTGTTTATGTAATTGGTACAACAGCAGCAGGAAAGACAAACTTATCTTTGAATTTAGGAATAGACAATTATGAGATTATATCCTGCGATTCAATGTAAATTTACAAAGAAGCTAATATTATGACTGCAAAAGCCACTGCTGCAGAACAGGCGATAAAAAAGCATCACGGAATTGATTTGTTAGATTTAGAATCTGAAGGATTTAATCGAAAATAATGGAACAACAGTAAGAACTCTTATTAACTCCATTTTAGTGGCAATATAAAAAATAGAGGAATTATAGTCAAAAGGAAAAATTCCAGTCTTAGTAGGAGGAACACATTATTACATAGAATCAATATTATTTAATTAAGAGACAGAAGATAAGTAAATGATTTAGGTAGCTGAATTAAACTTAAATGGAAAAGAGCCTTATGAATATTTAAATGAGATAGATCCTTTAGCAGCTGAAAAATTTCATCCAAATGATCATAGAAGAATTATCAACTCAATTAAATTTTATCAAACTACAGGATAATTACCATCTGAATAGTTAGATCATCATTCAGATTAATGTAAATTAAGAAGCAATAATTTCTTAATACTTTGGCCTAAATGGAAGAAAAGTGAAGATTTGAAGATGAAAGTTACTGAAAGGATAAATGAAATGCTCGATTAAGGAGGTATAGAAGAAATATTAAGAATATTTGAAAGATTACATAACAAATAAAATTAGGTTGGTGGAGTACTATAAAGTATAGGATATAGATAATTCGATAAACTTTTTTAATATTATAAAGAATTTGGGTTGCAATTTCCAAATGTTGATGATAAATTTTAAGAACTATTAAAAGAAGGGACAGAAAGATTAATTAATGATACAATGGCTTATACAAAAAAATAAATTTAATGGATCAAAAATAGAATTTTATGCAATTCGAAAATTGATATTATAGCTAATAGATTATTTTAATTGGAATTTGAATCGACTCAAACTTATAAAGAGTAGGTTATAGTTCCAGCATAAAAAATTTATAGTTTGTTTTGTTAATTATCTTAAGATGATAAATTAGGGGATGAATAATTTAAAATAAGTTCATAATAATTAGAAAATATTTTAACAATAACTCCTTAAATGATAGAAAAGTATAAATTAACTCAAAAATTAAAATCAAGAACAAATTGGAAAAAATAAGTATGTAATTTATGCAATAAAACAATGAATGGACCATTTGAAATAGAATAACATTTTAAATCCCGTTACCATAAATTAAATCTATTGAAAGATGCAAAATTGTAAAATAAAAAACAAAAAATAGATTGATTGTTATCATGATATAGTTTATGTTAAAATTTTATAAAAAAGATAAAAAAAAGAATGAGTTGAATAATTCGCTTTCATAGATCGTAAAGTGGTCACAAAAAACTACAACTCCAATTCCTAAGTAAAAAATATATAAATCAACAAAAGGATATTATAAAAAAAAAAAAAAATAGTGAACCTCATTAAAATCAAGGTAATATTTTTGTATTTTTAATAACTGAGATAATCAAAGATAAGTAAATAAAGCTGAATTTTAAATAGAAGCAATTAATACAGAAGATAAAAAGAGTTTATAAATAAAATATTAATATAATATGAACCCAAAATAAAACCGAATCCTTTATTCTCAGGGTAATATGACCACAAGTGCAACCTAGTCCCCATCCTAAAATATAAATTATAATGATGCAGGGTAAGAGTTCAATAAATTGTATAAGAGAGCTACTGGATTTGAAACTGAATTAAGTTCGGAAAATAAACCGATATCAAGCTGATAACATCAAATTGTTGAAGTCTCGACTTAATCATATTCAACACCAAGATTTGAATTGTTAGAGAAATATTTCTAGAACAAGTAATGAAATTTAATCAATTATTTCTACAAAATCTAGAGTTAATGAGGACTAAATGAGAAAGGTACATATTTGAACTATTATTTATATGATTAGTAATACCTTGATGAAATTAGATAAAAGAAACTTGAAGAATATTCATAAAGAGCCAATATGTCCAAAATGGAGAGAATAAAAAGAAGCTAAAACGTTGAAAACTGTAAGATATAGATGTATTTGATAGAGAAATAATTATATTCTGAAACTCATTCTTTCTTAAATAAAGAATATAAAACGAATTTATCTCAAGCAAAATTATAAACTTGGAATGAAATCTATGGGACTAATTGCAAATCTCACAAACAAATAAGATAGGCTCATCTTTAACATTAATAGGATAAAATCATCTAATTATAAATGGTATTATGAATATTAATTTTAGAAATAATAAGAAGGATCATATAATTATAAACAGAAGATTATAAAAGAGGCTTTGTAATTTAAAGAAAGACAAATGAGAGTCACAGAATTAGAAGAGGCAGAAGAACAATATTTGATGAAACTAAAAGTCACTCAAAGTAAGAACCGATCTATGAGTGCTAAAAAAGAAGAGATAAAGAGAATACCTGCGGAGAAAATAACAATTAGCAAAAATAATCTCTTTAGAATAAATTGATTTTATATGGATAAAGAATTTTAATGTTGCTAATGTTAATATGAGTTTTACTTACAAGATAGAAGTCCCCATGTTCTTCCATCCTGTGGCCATTCGCTTATGTTAGTTATGTTTGATCTAATATTTTTAATCATAATTGTAGCTGGTTTGAAATGAAGATAAGTAAATTGAATCACAAATTTAATTAAGCATCGAATGCCAAGTTGACAGAGATAGTCACAAAATTTTCAACTAAGTAAGAACATGTCTCAATCACATTTACTTGAATAATTGCCATAAAAAGATAATTAAGGAGATTAATGTTCCATTCACTCAAAACCATTAGAATTAGTTTTTTAAGAAGATGGCAAATATATTTGTGATAATTGTGCCTTATTTGGAAATCATAAGTTTCACAATTATAAACCAATTGATGAATATGTGAAGAAAATGGAATAAACTTTTTATGATATAACAACAATGTATGAAATTGTAAAAGAAATGAGAGCCAAAATCGAACAAAAGACATATTTTAAAGAATTTGAAACTCAGTTACTATAATCAAAGGATGCTAAATTGTAATCAATAGATATAAAGTTTAATGAATTATTTAATGAATTAATGAGAATGAAAGAAGAAATTAAAACCAGAATTTCAAATAATTACAACTTATTATATGATGATAANACCAAGATTTGAATTGTTAGAGAAATATTTCTAGAACAAGTAATGAAATTTAATCAATTATTTCTACAAAATCTAGAGTTAATGAGGACTAAATGAGAAAGGTACATATTTGAACTATTATTTATATGATTAGTAATACCTTGATGAAATTAGATAAAAGAAACTTGAAGAATATTCATAAAGAGCCAATATGTCCAAAATGGAGAGAATAAAAAGAAGCTAAAACGTTGAAAACTGTAAGATATAGATGTATTTGATAGAGAAATAATTATATTCTGAAACTCATTCTTTCTTAAATAAAGAATATAAAACGAATTTATCTCAAGCAAAATTATAAACTTGGAATGAAATCTATGGGACTAATTGCAAATCTCACAAACAAATAAGATAGGCTCATCTTTAACATTAATAGGATAAAATCATCTAATTATAAATGGTATTATGAATATTAATTTTAGAAATAATAAGAAGGATCATATAATTATAAACAGAAGATTATAAAAGAGGCTTTGTAATTTAAAGAAAGACAAATGAGAGTCACAGAATTAGAAGAGGCAGAAGAACAATATTTGATGAAACTAAAAGTCACTCAAAGTAAGAACCGATCTATGAGTGCTAAAAAAGAAGAGATAAAGAGAATACCTGCGGAGAAAATAACAATTAGCAAAAATAATCTCTTTAGAATAAATTGATTTTATATGGATAAAGAATTTTAATGTTGCTAATGTTAATATGAGTTTTACTTACAAGATAGAAGTCCCCATGTTCTTCCATCCTGTGGCCATTCGCTTATGTTAGTTATGTTTGATCTAATATTTTTAATCATAATTGTAGCTGGTTTGAAATGAAGATAAGTAAATTGAATCACAAATTTAATTAAGCATCGAATGCCAAGTTGACAGAGATAGTCACAAAATTTTCAACTAAGTAAGAACATGTCTCAATCACATTTACTTGAATAATTGCCATAAAAAGATAATTAAGGAGATTAATGTTCCATTCACTCAAAACCATTAGAATTAGTTTTTTAAGAAGATGGCAAATATATTTGTGATAATTGTGCCTTATTTGGAAATCATAAGTTTCACAATTATAAACCAATTGATGAATATGTGAAGAAAATGGAATAAACTTTTTATGATATAACAACAATGTATGAAATTGTAAAAGAAATGAGAGCCAAAATCGAACAAAAGACATATTTTAAAGAATTTGAAACTCAGTTACTATAATCAAAGGATGCTAAATTGTAATCAATAGATATAAAGTTTAATGAATTATTTAATGAATTAATGAGAATGAAAGAAGAAATTAAAACCAGAATTTCAAATAATTACAACTTATTATATGATGATAACTAAAGAAAAATAGAGTTAGAATTTGCTTAACTAATAAATCAGGCAAATAAATGGCTATAATAAACAAGAAATGAATTAAACGATTTCTTTGTTGAAAAATGTCAAAATGAAAAATGAAAAATGAAAAATGTAGGTAATAGCAAATAACATGGTTCCTAGTTGATTAAAAAAATATAACTCTAATTTTCTTCAATTGATTCTCGAATCAAGAAGTTTATTGCTGATTAACAAAATTCTAAATTCTAATTGAGGACATTAAAACCCTATTCTTCAAAAAAATAAACAACTTGACTAATTATTATTAGATAAAGATGATAAATTAACAGATTCAGATATCATTGATAAACATATCAAAGTTGAAAAGTTGACATAATGCATGTATATTTCATAATAACCAACTAACCTGCAGCTGCACAATATAATGTAGATAAAACTAATTCTTTCAGTGATACCTTTACACTAGGATAATTCTAAAGAAAAGATAGAAGCGTAACAATGTTATAAACAGAACCCTCAGAAGTATCTGCACCAAAAACTAACAAAAATAAATTCTCATCATCCAAATTTGTTAAAGTCTAAAAATTTATTAAGGACCCAAAACTAAATGATAAAATTATTCAAAATTCTAGCCATGTTTAAAAATTCTAAATGATTGATTTTTCTACTCTTAATAATTAAATATATTAGTAATGAAGGACTTTTGGATTTAAGCTATCAATGAAGCATAAAAAAATAAAAAAATTTTTCAAGTCATAAAAATGAGCAAGTGTAAATTATAGTCCAAATCAATATTAAATTTAGTTTATGGTTTAATACCCATTTTATTAAATATTCATATATTTTCCTATTCATTATTGAAACATCTTTATATTTGTATCTATGTATTTGTCATTAGGCGATCTATAAGACTACTTATATTCTTTTTTAAAACTCCATGAATTGCTCTTAATAATTAAATTTTATCACAAGGCTACGTTTTATAAATCTACTCTTTTAACAATTTCCAAATATTTTCAATAGGATTTAATTCTGGAGTATAAGGAGCTAAAAATAAGTAATTAATATTATCTAAATATCTCTATTTTATCATCTTACATTAATGAGTTGGACAGTTATCCAGAATAATAAGGAATTTATAATTTTTGTAAAATTCAGTTGCACTTGTGATTAGCTTTTCTATAAATTACCCAAAAACAAATTAATTAACATTTCCTATGCATACCTAAAACATCTAAAAGCCATTTTAACCTATTCCCCCAATTACATTAACAGATTTTTGAAGAGTGACTAATTTTCGAAATTTTTGATTCTTTTTTTATTACCAACATTTTGGATTGCGAGATTAATGAGCAAAAGTTGTTTCATCAACATAAATTGTTTTGAATTCATCATTGATATAAGAAAGGAGATCAATACAATATTGGTTAACTTTTTTAAATCTGGATTTTAAAAAAAATCCAAAGCTGCGCTTGGGAATTTATTTGTAAGTTAACCCATTTCTCGTCAAGCATTCTCGAAATTTCTTTATTCCAATTATTTGATTTTCAAGAGAAAAATGAAGTTTAAACGCTGCAAGAATCTATGAAGAATTCCAAAGTTCTTAGATTTCTTGGGTTTGAACGTATTTTTACAACCAATCTATATGAATTTATTAAAAATAAAATTAAGTTTAGAACTCATTACTTGAGTTTTTTTTATTATTCTCTATAATAAATTTAGTTCTTCGATAACCCTGTAAAATTAGAGATGTGCTATTTTGTAAATCCTAATTAAGTCATTTTTCTGATTAGATAAGCATTTTTTTTTTATCAAATAATTTTAATTCAACATCTAGTTTTATTTCCTTATTTTCTTTGTTTTGTTAGAAAAATTGGATCCAACTTTCTAATTATTCAAGTTTTATGCCTGTTAACAATTTAACTTAGTTACTAAAGGAAATTTATTTTTTTTTATTGAACTTAAACATATATTAGCATATAAGGTATATTAATTGCATAGAAAGTTGCATCTTCGATGGTATATAATTGATTATCCAATCTCGACTTTGCTCTAAAGTTAACATTATAACACTCCAAACAAATTTTCACTTTAATTCTCGAGGCTATTGGATTCTTGGAGATCTTGATAATAAGAGGATTAACAACTATTAGAATTAGATGCCATTTATTATTATAATAATGTTAATATTCTTCTGCTTTAATGTTTGATTTATCCACTTTATTTATTCTACATAGAATAATTTAGAAGAAACAATATATTTTTTGATTTCAAACTATAAAAGTTGATATAAAATACATTATGTAATTAATAATGTCATGTTCTTAATTTTTAATTTCAAAAATATTTATGAACTTCAAAAAATATTTATTGAAAGAAAAAATAATCACTGCAAATGGATACAAGTAATGTATTTTACATAAAAAATAACTAATGGCTTTGATCTAAATAGCTATATTATTTTCATTATATATTAGTTTTAGAAAGTGACAATTGAAGAAGCGAATAGAATAGTTGGATCACTTAAATCAATGTATACAGGATTGGCGTTAAAAGGGTATTATTTGCCTTAGATTAATTCACCATGTGTATGTAACAAGTGATTATCTTCTTGGAGTGGCTTTGAAAAAGTTTTTCTCATAAAAATAGGCTGATATTAAAATTGCTTATTTGATAAGAAACGCTACTAAAATTGACTTATACAGAGAGCTAAGTCAAATATTAGGATAAGAACAAGATTTGGGATTTACATCTGAAAAACTCCCAAATCGAGAATGGTTAATCAATGTTCTTTATAGTATTTCTCCCAATCATGGAAAATCCAGAAAAAAATTGAAGAAATTAAAAAGTATGGAATCTAAGTGAGCATTGAAATTTATTGTATTTCCCTCCTTTTTAAAATCTTCCTTTCTTCTCTTATTAATCATTTATCTTCCCTTATTGACATTTTTTGAATGTATTTTATAAGTTTAAAAAGAAACTGTATAGTCCTTTTTTACATTTTTTACAAAAGAGCTGTTCCTCCTAGGAATCTGAGCCATACTCAACTTATTATTTTTTATTTGTTGATTATTAATTCAAGTTAGCATTGTATGAATATTTCTTCTATGATTATATTTAAACATTTTATTGTTTCCTTAAGGAGGATTGCTCTGTTGAAATTCTAGTATTTGTATTTTATTCATTCCCAAATGTTTAAGTCTTTTATTTATATTTCAGTAGTGAAAATTATTAATATTTTTCATATAGAACTAAGGGGTCATTTTTTTATAACCCTTAAAGGTAGATTTTTCTCTTTTTAATATGATAGATAATAATAAATTTTTTTATACTTTTAACTTATTACATACAGGGTTGCTTTATTGTATTTTCCTTCCTCTTGTAATTTCAGACTCCATTACAATTAATTTTCATTATTAGGTGATAACAAAGCATTTATTATCTACTCTCTAAGTTCTTTTTCCTATATACCTAATATTTATGAAATAATCGTATCTATAGATTTACTTAGATCCTTATATATTCGTCTATCTCTCTCATGCTCAATCTCTAATTTCGATTAATTCATTTCATTTTAGATTATTCCCTCATTTCTTAAAAATTTTTAATTAAATTGCTTAATTGTAAATTATAAAGTTTTCATAGTCTCAACCATCCATCCAATGTTTTGCATCAGATAGGACTGTTTGAATGAGTTAATCATTGATATATTTTGCTTAGTGATGTAAATTCGCCATTGATTGAATTATTGTATTGGATATCTTGGCATACATAAATTATAAATTTTATTATTAATATCATTATATTAATAAATAATTATAATAATGAAAAATATTACCTGCTCAACAATCGGTGAAATATTGAGTTAAATATCAAATACTAACAGTCAATTATATGGGCTTGACTCACCTACCAATTTAAAATATTGCTCTTTTTAATCTCAATTTTTTAGACTCATCACTTTTTCAGATTTTGAATAGAAAATTACAAACCCACTATATTAGGCTGAAATTGCTACTAGCCAATCAGAAATTAATGAAGTCTTTTTACCTGTATGCTATGCTTATTCAATACTGAGAATATTTATGGTTATTTCAGTTGCATTTTATGTTAGACAAAAGATGAAAGATATTTTTGATTAGTCTTAAAAAAAGTTCACAGATGAGAAATAATCCGAACTTGATTTCTATAAGTGGATGATAAAAGTTTCATTATATGTTGAGATTATTTGTGCTTTAGTAATAATTAATATATCGTTTAGAGAGATTTCCTATTATTTAAAGGTACAATTCTTTACTCAAATGTGATGAATACCTTGACAATAAATTGTTACATTGACATTTATAATTAAGGAAATATTTCATGTAATTAGACATATGAAAATAACTGGAGAAGCTTTAGCTATACACGAGAAGATTGCAATTGCCTTTACTTCTAGCCAAAAGATCAAAATTTTTATATGATAAGTTCAATAGTTTTTTGGATAATCACTGAATCAATAACTTAAGGTTTAGTTGGTTTCACAGTTTTAATCCTGAGTAGATTAAATAAAAAAGAATCATCTGGATGGAATTTTATTAAACCTAGCTTTATTAGATTTATTGTTACTACAATATTTATGATGTTTTTGTATGCTGTTCTTATATTTGCATGCAACATGCAAATTTATTATAGATTTTATAGTTTAAGTGTGGTTAGCTATTATTTGTTATAGAAGTGTGTGGTTTTTTTAATAATTTTTGATAAATTGTATAGTAAAGTATGGTTGGAATTAAAATTGAGATTGCCAACATTGCATTCAAGCGGAATTGCATGGTCAAAAACCTTAAACATATTAAAAAAAAGAATTCAGAAACCTGTTGAGCCATCTGAATAAATAAAAGAAAAATACCAATAAAAATACAGATTGCAATATGAATAAACATTAGAAAAATATTTTGATGACGCCATCTAACCAAATTTGGATAGATATGAAAGGGAATATAATGCAAAAATGAAAACTTAATGGTATGATTATTTGAATTATATTTTATTAATCAATCTAATAGGGATAATTGGATATATCTTTATTGCTTCTTTTGGTTTATTTCAGGAAGAAAGAGATAGCTAATAGAAACATGTTAAAAATGGTTATTTGTTTTGGATAGGGTTTATATTAGCACTTGTGGAATTGATTGTCTTTGAGGTTTCTAATGTTGTTTTTTAATTACATTGTTTTTTAATTGAGCTTTATAAATAATGTGAAGAAGAGCGTAGTGCAATTGATACAAATTAATAAGAAAGTGGAATGATAACTTTATTCAATTGAAATACATCATTTTATAAAATAATCATAAGTCAAGCAATAATCAAGTTTGGCTTCTTTTCTTAATAAAAATCTAAAACCAACTTAATTGTAAAAATTTTTATCATTATTTCCTTTTCTAGCAAATGATAATTTAGTGCATTTCTCAATGATAGGTTTAGGTGTGGCATAGATATGAAAACTAGAATGTCATGACTTCTCAACTAATTCATATTTTATTCAAATTTACAATCTTAACATTTATCAACCCATTCACTACCTTTCATAATTCGAAATTTCACTTTAACATTTTTAAGACTATCCAATAAAATGGATCACGATCCTCAAACACTAAATGTAGTATTTTCTAAGTTTTTCAACAAGAAAAATCCATCTTCTAATTATATTGATTCTTATTAATTCTATTTAGTAATAACTAAAAATCATTTTCTAATAAATTTAATTTTTCTTCTTAAAATTTAGTTTGTTATTTGATTTATTTTTTTTGGAAATGCCTTGAAATATTGAAATTTTTATCAAGAAATGATTGATCTAATAGAGTGAAGGTTATTTATTCTAATTAGTTTAATTAATTGAAATAGATTAAGATTCTACTTCTTTATATTGCTATTATCATATCAATTAAATTAATGCATAATTGATATCTTGAAATGAAACAAAAATCTTGTTAATTAATTATTGATTTTATGCTCCATTCTAAATATTCCTCTCATTTAATGGAGTTAGGGTATCTTTTGATTGTAAATATATTACTTGTATAAAGTTGTCGAACCTTTTTAAACTTGTAATTATAGTTATATGGGGACTTTGGTTTGAAATTTAAACTCTCATCTCCTATCTTTTCAAGTCTTTAATTTATTTTCTTGCTAAATTAAATAGGCTTCAAATTACTTTTTTCTCAACTACTATTGTTAACTGATGTTACTGATTGACATCTTATAATTTTCTTTTAAAATTGAATTTTAATTTTTCATTCAAAAAATATCAAATGCTTCAGTTTAGAATTCTGATGTTTCTTTTGATTATAATATTCTTACCCAAATAAATATTTTCCATTCCTTTATTGAAACAATCGAGGGATATGGTCTTTTTTTTATTCCTATAATTCTTTTCTGGCTATTCGTTAATATTTTTTTTCACGCGATTTGCATTACAATTAAATCATATAAATAGATAATTATTCAAAACTTTGCCACCCCCCCCCCCCCCCCCCCCCCCCCCCCCCC